TGACCGTGTAAAATTTTTGAAGAAGTTTTTGAAAAAATGGCATTTCTGAAAATGCTGAATTTTGAGCTAATTTTTAGAGAAACTTTTAGCGGTTTCGAGAAACTGAGATATCTTTTAAACCATGTGTACTCAAATGCAATAATGTGAACAAAACACCAGAAATATAAATATTAACGATGTGAGAGAAGTAAAACAAATGACATTTTTGTAATTTATCAAAAAGAAATAAAAAATAAAAATAAAGCAATATGGCATTGATGTCATCTTATAGCATACATTTAGCACGATCCCAACCAAAAGTTTAAAGAAAACTTTGGAGCTGTTTTCGAGAAAATGTCTTTTTAACATTGCACTTATTTATATATAAAAGATAAAAGCCAGCAGGTATACACCCAATTGCAGGCTTACAAATACAAAAAATAACTCTTAGTTTGTAATGACAACTACATATTTCTTTGCAGAATAACAAATTGAAGAAATAGAATCTCTAAATAAATACATCTCATCAGTGCAAATGGTTGCCAAATTATTAACATTATTCCTCATTTTATATAGGAGAGTTCACAATAAACTTATCTGAAGAAGTAAAGTTATACAGAAGCTTGGTTACCATAGAACCAACCGTGAGATCTGATCATGAACTTGTGGAATACTAATGTTCCGAAGAATTTTAATAAAGGAAGAGATCATGATCAGCTTCCTCCTGGCAGCCAACCTCTTAATATTGAACTTATTAAAAAGAAATTACAAATTTTCATGACAAGCCTGATAACAAAGCCAAGAGTTCTATTTACAAGATCCTCGATAGGATGTTTAGAATATAACTTATTAAATATAATACCTAGTTCTTTTATTACAGAAACTGACTGCAATTCTCTATTAGCAATCTTATCTACGGCTGTGCATTTGAATACATTTGCACATTTTTTTCTGTAAACTAAAACATCCTGTTTTAACAAATGGTATGTTTTGAAGCATTTAGAATCAATTTAAGCAATTTTTATTTTGCATATATCACCATAATTGCATATTTGAGACATATTTCCATATTCACTCATCTGTGGAAAGCAGCCCATAAGTTACAGTTCCATCAGTGTGTAAGCAGCTCTGACAGTTCTCCAGCCACTTGCTAAATCATGTAAATTATCCTGCTCTGAAGCAATGGGCTTCCGAGGATGTTAACATTGCCATAGCCACGGATCAGCGTTGCTGCTCGCCTAACTTGTACAAAGTCACCTGAGAAGCACGCAAAGACCTATCATCAGCAGTATCAGTCGAAATAAAAAAATGTGTATCTGCTGAGCACCTATGCATGCCCACACATGGCACAGACGTGGAGTGGTGTAAAAAGAGTCAGGCCTGTGAATTGAGAGGAAGTCATTTTTGTTGCAATACCTATATTTTTTATTTTTGTGAAACATATATTAACTGCATCTCCCATTATTTTGCTAAGAATTAAGATTTTGTTGGAAAATTTAAGTCCTTGACTTAATGTTTACCAATTGTAACATTTTATATCTTTTTTTGCAGTGAACATATTTTCCACATTACACTTTTTATTAATTTTTACACTTACACACTATATTTCCTTTTTTAATTGCATATAAATCACAGCCCTACTTATAACTGTAAGCTACATGCTGAGACTTACAAATGACATGACCTTACACTTATCCAGATTGAGTTAATTTGTGTAAAATGCAGCAGTAGTAAAGGGTGATCAAATTATCCTGTTTCTCATAATCCTCAACTGAGGTGATAGGTAAATAACAGTTCCATGTCATCCGCATAGGTAACAAGTTCTCATTAAAATCATGAATTGTAATAGCAAACACCAGTAGTTGAAGATTGGAACCTCGTGGAACACCATTTGGTGGTGTAAATGCTAGTGAAATATTTATAGCCAATATGTTGCATAGTTATGGCGAGCCCACAAGTACATCTAATTATGAGGGATGTCTAACAGCACGATCTAAAACAAAGCCTTAGAGAAGTCTTAAGAACACAAATTGTCCACAGATACTCAAGAATTGGAGTAAACGTTAGTAAGTTTGTAACTGTAAGAAGCCATGATGAATGTTAGAAATAAGGTCTAAATAAAAAATATCATACTAAGTGACTTGTACAAAGACCAAGAATTTTGGAAAAATTACATAAAACTGAAATAGAAACATATTGCACGAAAACTAATATTTCCAAAACAAATTTGAAACAATTCTACATATAGTGCTAGTGGTGTCCACAGACTGAAACGATGTACATTTTGAAAAGAAAAATCTTTTTTGATTTGATTTGATCAAGAGACTACAAAATCTGTATTTCCATTGTCATCTTGCAATTGATTTTCAACAGCATTTTAACTTTCTCTATACTACGTATATTGTTCAGGCATTGCTCATAAAGATTTTAAAAAGTTGGCAACTGAAATTAAGAAGAACAATGTCAAATGGAGCTGTGATAATTGCAAAAGTCAGGTTAGCATGATTATTGAAAAATATATTGAAAATTCTTTGAAGGAAATAAAAAGACAAATCGGGAGAATCTCCTCTTTGGAGAAGAGAATCAGATCATTGGAAAATAAGCTACAAAAACTTGATTGTAATAGTGCAAGCACTGATAAGGTAAACACCGAAGATATTACCAATATATCTGAGAGAAAGAAACGTGAGAAAAATGTTATTGCTTTTAATGTACCAGAGTCTGTGAAGCCTACTGGTTTGGATCCTTTGCTAAGTAATTGAGAACAAATAGCTAGCCTATTTGAATCAGATTTATCTATCGATGTTTCAGATATGAAAATGCATAGACTTGGCTGTCGAGTAACTGGAAAGATTGATACATATACAATCTGTGGATACCTCGAAATTGATACTAAAAACAAAATTTACTAACAATAATGGAATTCATTATAAGTCTGATTTAACCAGACCACAACAAACTTACCTGAAAAATCTGCGCAATGAATTAGACGAAATAAATAAAGTGAAACAAAAATGACAATAAGATATATTAATAATGTCCCTAAAATTGTGAATGCGCAAACTTTTCGGGAATCCTAGGATAAAGACAAAACCAATCCAGAATCTGCAAGTGTATTATCAGAATGTTGGAGGGTTGAGGACTAAATTGGAGAAATTCTTGGTATCATCTCCCAATTCTGAATGTGATGTATTATGTATTATTGAGTCTTGGTTGCACTCATCCATCATGGATGGTGAAATTGTTGACAAATATGCTATTTACAGGAAAGACAGATCTTGCAATTACTGTGAGCATGGTGGTAGAGTTTTTATTGCAGTTGAAAGTAACATCATATCTGAATTGGTCATAAATGAGGAGAATCACCTTGAGCAAGTTTTTGTTAGAATTAAGAGATATAATCATGACGTCATCATTGGGTGCGTATACATCCCTCCACAAAGATATTTATTGTGAACATTTTACAACTATCTCCAAAACGCAAGAAAAAATCCAAACTGCAGATTGATAATAACTGGTGATTATAACATTCACAGTAGTCTACCACAATTGGATTGTGAATCTTTCCTCTACGAAAGATTCTATTTGTTGGAATGCTCTCAGTTAAACGACATTTGTAATAACCAAGGTTGATTACAAGACGTTTGTTCCAGTGACTTGGATGCTCATGTCGATAAAATACCTTCTATCGTGGATGAGGTTATATTTCATCTTGCATGGTCCCTTAATCAGGAGTTCAGAGCAAGCCTGAGACCGAATGATATCCCCACAAATTTATTCAGGAATGCTGATTATGTATCACTGAATAACTACTTTCTGAGTGTAAATTGGATAGATGATAAAGTGAAATGGTTCAACGTGATCTACTGGGCCATAAATCAATTTGTTCCAATAAACTATGGAAGAAAAACAGACTTTCCAATTTGGTTTTCTAAGGAATTAATACGTTTAACTATGCAAAAGAAAATTGCTCACAAAAATTACAAAAGAGAAAATGTCAGGATAATTATATTACTTACTGTACATTTAGATAAAAATGTAAACAATTAAGCAAAAAATGCTACAAAAATTACTTAAAAAAAAAGAAAATTACCTTAACTTCGATCCTAAATTTTTTTTGGAATTTTACGAAAAATAGACGTTGGAAAAACGGAGATACTTCCTCCAAGATGACTTGGAAAGATGTTGTAGCACGTAATGGAGTAGATATTGGAAATTTACTTGCAGCCTTTTTCAGAAGTGTATGATGAACCTACAGAATCTTCAACCGAAAGTGATATTGGCAGAGTATTCAGATGTGAAGCTCTCCAGATTTGAAGTTGCCTACGATAAAGTTTTCCATATATTGACAACTTAACATCAACAAAGGACAAGGACCTGCTGGCTTACCAAACATACTAAAAAACTGCACTGCAGGATTATGTGAACCGATCACACACATTTTGATAAATAACTTGAGTTGGTGCTACTTTCTATCCACCTGGAAATTTTCTTATACCATACCAATACATAAAAGTGGAGACAAGTGTCAACTGAATAACTATAGGCCTATATGCATTCAACCATCACTTGCTAAACTTTGCACAGCTTTCAAAAACATTTCTTCTAAACAACATGACTTATTGGAGGAAGATCAACATCTGCAAATCTCTTCATATACATCAACTATATCTTAAATGCCTTGGACAAAGGTCAAAATGTGCACTCTTTATACACGGATTTCAGTAAAGCCTTTGATAAAGTTGACCACAAAACGATGTCAAAATTGAGCCGTTATGGTATTCGACTAAGCCCTTGAGTGGCTGTGTTCATTTCTGAGAGGTAGGAGATTACAAGTGAAAGTTAATGGTAATTTATCACATGAATATGTTTTGTCTGGTATACTACAGGCTACTCATGTCAGACCAATATTATTCAGTATTTTTGTAAATGATATTGGTGAAGGGTTGCAATCAGAATTCTTGCTATATGCTTACGATATGAAGATCTACAGAACTATTGTGAGCGAGAGTGATGTGGTTATTCTACAATGCGACAACTCTCTACTCGAGAAATGGTGTATGGATAACAAGTTATTCTTGAACATTGGCAAATGTGCTGTGATCTCTCGTGCTTATGGTCAATACAAAGTCATCATAGACTGAAGAAACGCACAAATTGTTAATTCATTTAAAGATCTGGGCATAATTATTGATGAGAACTTACTTTTGCTCATCATGTGGACAACATTTCTAAAAAAGCATACAAAATCTTGGGATTCATACTCTGATCAAGAAAAGAATTTAGAAGCATCAACACACATTTATTCTCTGCATTAGTGGTACCAATATGGAATACAGAAGAATAGTTTGGTCACCATATACTGTCCAACATATTACATGAATTGAGTGCTCAATGAAAGTTCTGAAAATCCTTAGTTTATTACTGTCAAGATGAAGATGTGAGAAATACTGATGATGTTTACGATCTACTTAAGAGTGATAGACTTCAAACTCAGAGACAAATGATAGACGCTTATTTTTTTCTAAAGTACTTAATGGCTTTTTTAGCCTTGCATGCACCAGGCATAATTTGTGTACAAGACTACTTGTGAATGTGAATAATTCCAACAAGAATTAGGTCATCTTTGGGTCGCACAATAGAATAGCTAACATTGTCAATCAGATAGCACCAAACGTTCAATTCTTCAATATATCTAGATCTACTTTCAAACGTAGCATAAAAGAATTCATTTAATTATTACTTATTGTCTCAACCAAATTTTGTGATGCAATATTTTTGATGTATATCAATTGTATACTTCTGTTTATGTGCTTATGCTCTCTTTCTCTCTCTCTATATATATAATACATTATGTGAAAATTTAAACGTATAAAGCCAATTGGCATAGTGAATGAATAAATATTACTTCATATATATACGAGCAAAAATTGTCTAATCTTATTAATAGATGCAATTAGCATCACTGTGTTTCTGACTAATAAATTTTTACACAAATCAAAATTAATACAAATTGGTTTTATAAAATTTATTTGTACATCTTGTAAATGGAGGATTGCCACAAGCATTGTGTAATTATTTAGGGGGACAAGTATGCACTACAAAGCAAAGAGGGGGTTTTCTTAACACTCCAAATTTGCATTAAATAATTTACAGATGGTCGCTTGGATGATGGAGAATTCTCCTGAATTGTCACTTTTTCCCAAAGGTGACACCAATTTAAGAACGAAAACTAATCTAGAGTTCACTCAAAAACAAACTCCCATAACAGAATCATTGAAAGGACAAGGTCTCATTGAAAAAAAAAAAGCAAATGATTATTAGAATTTTTAATTCATACTTGAATGTATGTATATAAAAAATTACAATTATGCCGGCTGGTCATCACCCTTAGTTGTTCTTGTGTAGATCACTTGCGCATGATGCTTGACAACCTGTTTAATTGCACCTGAAAGACACATTTACATTAAAGATTGCTTCAATACAAAGACCACACACACATACAATACTTTAAGAATTACTCCAAAACAGACAAGAATCCCTTCAGGCTCATTAAATCAGATTTTAACATTCACGGAATTTCAAGATCAAAGAGTCATCATTCAGGATTCTTGTACCTATTACATAATTGCATGTAATTACCAAAACCACCATTATCTTCTGATTTACGAAAGGAAATTCTAACATTGCCCAGACACGTAAATAAAAGGGAAGAGATGTAGCTTTAGCGAACATAAAACTTCTGAGTCACTATTCTAAACATTTAACCCCATAGATTGAATAAAAACTATTGCATTAACATGGTGGTCACCATTTTTCTGGAACAAATTCGCCCAAACCTGCCAGTTTTCCAGACCATGGTCCCCAGATAAATTTAAGTAATATCTGACTCATTGGCTGTCGTGCAAGACCATTCAGTCATGTAGGGACATTCAATTATTTTAGCATGAGTCCATGTGGTCTTATGGATGCGCTTGTTCCTTGTATGATAATATTCACCCCTGGCATCTTTATAGTATTAATAGCTGCAAAACGTTCCTTAGAGCCAATGTAGTCTCATACATTTTCGTAAATAATGCAGCTTCTATATAATATTATAAAAATATTAGTAAAAGTTTCAACATTCTAGCATGAATATAAGTGTCAATTACCATTGGCACAGAGATATATTATGTGAAAAGCCTGTATGGTATCGATGTGTAGTATAGCGAGAATGTGCGTCACAGTGAACGTGTTAGCATGAAACATAAAACCAAAATTCAATACCTGCATTTTAAGTTATTAGTGTTTAGGGACCTTCCTACTAAGAGTGATTTTCTACCAAGTACAAGAATACTTATGGAGAAATTTTGGAATGAGAAAGATAAACATAAAAAATGAAGTCAAGAGCTTGGTTTGTCTGCCACAAATGCCACAAGGAATTGAACCTGGGCAAATTAAATGCTATAAAATTATATAATGTATTTATAAATATGAAGATCTATAATTAACACACTTGCAGATTGTCATTCTTAATGACACATGCTGCCAAGGACTGCAAGGAACAGTATATTCCAAGCTAATCCACTTCATTACACATTACAAAAGTTTGCAAAGAAAAGGAAGAGTGTTAGAAGCCTATGATTTTGAAATGGACAAGTTTCAACAGGGAAGCATAATAGGCAAGAATGGGCATTCAATAACTTTTTATCTTCCAAGCTGCAATAAATCCTTTACTAAGATTAAAATGCTATTATCTGCCATGCTTTCCTCTATAGAATCACTTCTTCAAACAAACTGGGAGATTAGTTTTAAAACTTTTGGTACATTCATTCTTGGCTTTGATTTTGCCATAAAAATAACATTATACAAACAAAATTTTGTCACAAAGGCATGCAATGTTTTTCAAGAAAACTTCCCTATTTTCTAATATCAATGAAAGTTCTCGACTTTATAATTTGCTAGAAAGTGGACACCCTGTTTATAAAACTTCAAAAAAGATTGAAACTTACCTTTGGCCAACAACTCATCAAGGGCCTTCCTTGCTAATGAGCCACGTACTTTCAGCCTCTCACTCACAACTGAAGGAGTAATAAGCTTGTACTGAGGAACTTCTTTTTGAAGTTTCTCATAGGTAGCTTTATCAAATAAAACTTGATTGTTTAACTTATCACGAACTTTTCCTTTTGACCACTTCTGCAATTACAACAACAAAAACTTTAGCAAATGCAATCTTCAAAGCTAACGCAGTAAATAAAATCTGCACTTAAGTTATACTAAGGTAACACAACACTTGTTAAGGGCATATTATGTAACCAAAGTATCAAAACATCTCTCAAATTCTACCTTCTTTTTCGCCTTGCCTCCAGAGCCTCCCTCCTTTTTCTTTTGAGTTTTCTGCGGCTGTTTAGATGATGATCCCTTTGAATCCTTTTTAGGAGGCTAGTAACAATGAAAAAAATGGAGTTAGTGCAAGTATACGAACAAATGCATAAAATTGTGTACACCAATGACCCATCAGGCTCATTAAATCGTTTTAACCATCACAATCATTCAAGATGTAAGTGGTCATCATTAGGGGAAAATGTGCGATAGTGCGGTAAATAATATTTAATACTTCTCACTTGATTAACACAGAAACAAAATACATAATGGATTGAAATAAAAAGAAATAGCTTACAAAATTAATCCGCCAACAGAATCGTGACCGTGTAACAACCACGTGTCCTGGGAGACGAGTACCGAATGATCAAATACTAATTAGAAAGAAATAACCTGCCCAAGAAAGATACGTTTACCTGACTTTTGGTTAAGTGCCGACAACAAATCACGATATACAAGAGACAGAATCCAAAATTGTGCGTAGTAACATGAAACCATACAGTATAATACCGACATTTTGTTGCCCACTAACGTCAATAAGTACTATTCACATTTGGACAATGTGTAATTTCCATTTCATTACGTCAATTTGCACTTAAAACTCATTTACATTGTGTAATTATTTCTTATAAAATAATATTATTATATTTAATAAAACAGCATGCTACTCACCATCTTGCTAGCTGAACACAACAGGAACAGGAAATGGCACAGAACTCCTGAGATGTTCCAAGCAAAGAATCCTAGTCCTTTTGGCGAGCGGCATTTGTTATAAGTGTTGCCAAATTAACTATAAACATACGTGTCATGTGTTTGACTGTATCTTATTTGTTTTATTTCAACCACGATTTCTGTTATCTTCCATTCTTTGAAAATAATATAGATGAAATAATTTAGAGAATGTAAATTACGAAGTCACATTGTTTGGCAACATTGGAAATGAGGAAAAAGAACAGCGTGTAAGAAGCAACATGGCTGCATTTCGAACTTTTAGGTGACGTTGAATTGAACTAAATTGATACTACCGGCAATGATAGTGTGCCATATGTTTAGATAAACACCATGCTTCCGGCCATAAACAATATAAATACTGCGTGTTAGCAAGAAACGTGCGCGAGACACGGTATGTGTGAAAGTACTCTTCTCCTGCAAAGTCTACTCTCCTGTTCAAAATTTCTAAATGTTTTTGTAACGTGTTTGTGGAAGTGTCAACCGCAGGATTTTGAGTATGCTTCACAATTTTATTGCCCTTTTGAAAAGATTACAAAAGTGTTTGTTAACAATTAGCCTAATGATAAAAATGTGATGTAAAAATTGTTCTTTTTGCAGGTTATGTGATAGTTCTCCAGAATTAACAAAGACCCAAAAATCACAAAATGCTTCCTTTAACTCACAAAGATTCAGCCCGATCGTTGGGTTCACGGTTGAAGGAGAAAGTGCAAGGACTTGTGCGACTAATTTTTTCAGACCGAAATTCAAGAAACTTGTTTCTTTTTCTATTGCTGAACCTTTCTTTTGCATTTGTAGAATTAGTATACGGTATTTGGACGAACAGTCTGGGATTAATTTCCGATTCATTTCATATGTTTTTTGATTGTACTGGCTTATTAGCTGGTCTTGCAGCATCTGTCATTACGAGATGGAGAGCTAATGATAAGTTTTCTTATGGTTACGTGCGAGCAGAAGTTCTGGCAGGCTTTGTAAATGGTCTCTTCTTGCTCTTTATTGCTTTTTTTATAATGTCAGAAGCAGTGGAAAGAGCAATAGAACCTCCAGAAGTGAAACATGAGAGGTTGTTTTTAGTGTCTGTTTTAGGTCTGATTGTGAATTTGGTTGGTATTTATGCATTTCAGCATGGTCATGGACATTCACATGGGGGAGGTGGAGGTCATGGTCATTCTCATGGTGGACACACTCATTCACATTCGCATTCCCATGGAGATCATTCACACAGTCATTCTTCCGGCGATTTTAGTGGTAGCAATTCTCAAATCATGAAAGGTGTATTTTTGCATATTCTTGCAGACACTCTTGGGAGTGTTGGAGTAATCATATCTGCAGTATTGATGCAAGCATTTGGTTGGATGATAGCGGATCCTATTTGTTCAATGTTTATTGCCATTTTGATAGCTCTCAGTGTGTTGGCTCTTATTAAAGATTCAGTATTTATATTAATGCAACGGCAACCTACAGCATTAGATACTGTGCTTCCTCAATGTTATCAAAAAGTTATGCAGTTGGCTGGAGTATATAGTGTACAAGAACCCCATTTCTGGACATTGTGTAGTGATGTGTATGTTGGTGCACTTAAATTGGAAGTGTCAAAAGCAGCAGATCCAAAATATGTTGTCAGTCATACACACATGATATTTGCTTCCGTTGGTGTGAAACAGCTGTACGTACAGTTAGATTATGCACCCATGTGATTATGTCCGAAAGTTGTGTGTCTTAAAGATGACTTGAGGTGTAGACGAAATTGGACTACTCGTCTTCTCCCAGGTTTACAGTGTGGAGTTTGTCGTAACAGATGGTCAGGGTTTGTGCTTGTGTTTGCATTTTATAGGGTAATTGTCAAAACTATGATCATTCCAGTCATGAACTGCATCAGCTCTCCACATTATAGACTGTGTAAACTTAGAAACTATAAATTGACTAATGGGAAAGCCGTAGTAGTTTAAATGTGTTCGAAAACAGTTATAAGATAAGTCAGATTTATCACATTCCTTTGTATGCATTTATTTGTGTGGCACAATGAACCTAACAGATCTCAGTACGATCTTTTACTAATGAGCCTGTTTATTATCCTGGATCAGGGAGTGGTATTTGTTGTTGAATATTGTAATGTTTTGTAGACACAACTATTGAGCATTTACAAAAATCAGAATTTTAATTTATATATGTATTATAAAGAGTCGCATTTCTTCTGACATTTATTTTATTGAAAATTTTATTTAATGAGTGCTTCAAAAAGCACTTGCTGTAATTAAAGTGGTCAATATTTGTTAATATGGTCAATCATAGTTTATGATTTCTTGCAAGTAGGCATACAAAATGCTAATGTAATTTATATTAAATTTCTATTCAATATAGAAATCATTTCATGCTGATATGTATTGAGACATGTTCTATAAATAAATCCATTTGTGTGTGAGCTTGCTTTTATCAAAATCCTTTAGTTACATTGTAACATCCCTTCTCCCATTTTCCAACATTAGCACTGAAACACATATGTAGATAGTGTTGGATCAAAACAATCTTCAGCATCCTCACTGGAATTGATTCTCAAAAATTAACTCTTGAAATTTTATGGTGAACCAAAATTTGTAGCCTCTTAAAGCTCTGTTCACTGATTAGAATTTGAAAGCTAATCGTAAAAAAATCCCACAATATTAGGAGGTACTAGAGTAGTTCTTGCTTTGAAAGTTAGGGTCAAATGAATCAAACTACTTGGAAAATCTGAAACTCCTTAATATGAAAAAATACATTTAATTTAAGTAATACATCCAATTTAAAATATCTTTCATACATTTTCGTCAACAATGTACACTAATTTTTAAAATCTGAATTAAATTATTTTTGTTAATATAACTGAAAATAGTTTTATGTAATATGAACTAATTTACATTATTCATCCTTGGCACCTTATACTATTTAAGCCTTTTGATCTGTCCCTTTTAATCGGCTCCTGCACACAAGCATTGTGTTGACATACATTATATAACAACACTGTATCTTATGCAAAACGACACGAGTGCTTTGTCCGTTCTACACAAGATACAGTGTTAATCTACATCGCATATTACTTATGCACATCAACCCAATGCTCATATGATACAGGCCTTAATTTTCCAGTATTCCCTCTGTCATTTCCAAGGTGAATCTAGTCTTTCCAGTGATTTTAAGTCTGCATGGATGTCTTCTTCCTGTCAACTTGTAATTTAGTACTTTTTGGTTACGATTTTTCTTGATTCTTTTTAAATGTTCTTGTCACTTTCTTTGACATTTCACAATTTGTAAACGCAATGTTTTTAACTTGATTATTGAGAAAGTTTTTTTTTTAAGCATACTTTGAAAATTGTTGTAATTCCATTAAACAAAAAATTAAGAAAATATTGAGAAGATATTAAAAAAAGATAGATACACACCTCAGATAACATCTGGAAGCATTCCAAGAAATTGAAGATTGTGAGATAAGTTTTCGCTCTGTGTGACTTGAGCATCCAGTATCTTCTGCAGTAACATCTGGTCTTGGATGTCATGTGTTCTCCAATAGTTTAATTGTACTCTCTAAAAGGTAAACTTAAAAACAGTTTGTAGAAGAGTGAGACAGATTGTTATATTTCCAGTACTGGTTTTTATATTTTCACATTTTTCAAGGTGGCAATTAAATTGAAAAATTGTATCCTTTTCATCAATTCTTATGTTTGTAATTTACAATAAAGTAAATGTAGAAAGAAATAACAATTAGATGTGATCTAGTATACATATTCAAACACCATTCAAGATATTAATTTTATTCTAAATACTCAGTAAGGACTTACTCAGCACCTATATACTAATTTACAAGTTTTGGCAAATAAATTTAAGATATGGCTGGTTTCAACTTTAAAGGAAAAGTTCTGTCCAGACCACTAACAAGGATAGTTATACCTAAACTTTCGTTTCCATATCTAAACATTGTTTTCCTAGATGTTCCAAGAGTATACAGGACATGAGAGCCAATAAAAAAGATGTGTTCAGTTTTGGGGGATGGAGAGGGTTCCTACTTAAGGTGTTTATATGCGTGATAAATTTCAGATTAATAGTTCAACTCATGATCTTTCAAGACAATAAATTAACCACCTATTTTTTTCATTTATTTTCAGAATGCGATTATTTGAAAGTCAGATATACCTAATAAACTTAACTTTTATTTATTACACAATAATAGATTGAATATATATTTTGCAATTTTGATTTTTATCATGTTTTTAAATATGATTTTGCACAAAAATGTCTTGTTGGTTGAATTTTTTATTCCATTGAGATTACCAGGAATAACTAGGAGCAACAACAGCACATACAGCTGGAAACTGTTACACAATATTACAATTTCTCCTCTACTATCACCTGAGCTATAAACTTGAAAAGTCAAATTCAAACAAAGCGCCCGTGGTGCAAATCTGCATTGATTTCGATAGTTGAAAACGGTAATAATTTCTTACTTTTACAAAAGAAACGAGCATTTACATATTTAACAGTTGCAGTATTTGCAACACACTGTACACAAAAGCAAGAATAATTTCATACAAGCTTGCCCTGAATACAGATATTAGCTTCCAATTTTTGAATATCATAATCAGTATCAAAACCTCACAGTAAAAGAAGTGTAATTGTTAGTTCGAAGATAAATTTATTACCCTCCATAAAATATTTCTTTTCTTTAGAATATTATCTATATAATACAATTAACATGACTGCCTACAGTGACAATCCTTGGGTGTCTGGGAAACTGCATGCTAGGCACAGATTACAACATTTCAACCACCAATCTGCGACCTTCCTCAGGGCGAAATGTGAAGGAAGGAAGCAGAATGGTGGCCAAAACTTTAACACCTGTGCCTTGGACGCGGCATCTCCTGGACATCCAAATGGCTACTGACTTCAGAAGCCTAAGCTCTCAAACATCCCAAGAATTTCCAACCGCCATGTTGCCATTTTGCAAACAGCCAACATACATCAAACTAAGCATGGGAAATTTGTTATTTACCATTTAGATCCCCCCAATTTTTCAAAATACTGTTCACCTAAAATGGGATCATCAATACTTTCTTTATCATCCTTTGCTACATACGTGGAAAACGTTTAATGAAAAATTGGGGGATTTTCGAGAAAATAATTGTTTAAAACTTAAAAATTTCCTATATTTCACACATAAAATAATCTCATTTCTGAAAAACTGAACATGACCTTATTTAAAAATATCTTTCTGATAAACACATACAGGAAAAAAAATCTATCTTCTATTGTAGTTGTAGGAAATCACCCCAAAAAATGTTAACTTTGACAATTTTCAAAATATTAGGACTTCAATGAAAACGATACCTGCACCATTCTTTTAAGTGTCCTTTACGCTACCCGAGGACAAAATTCAATCAAAACAATTTGGTGCCTTTTTTTGAAAGTGCTGAGGGTTCATGTAAGTACCCCCCAAAATGAAAACATTGGACTCAAATTGAAGGGGTCACATCAGCCAGATGGAATAATGGATTGCAAGTTTGGTGGAAATCCTACTTATATTTTAGCCGCTAGCATTTTTCACAGTCGGATGGATGAACCAATGCACGTTTTGCCTCTTGATTTTTCAGAATCAAGGACCCACAAAACATGGGATTCTGACTACATGAGTTAGAGGAAGTAATTTACTATATACAGGGGCAAGCTTTATACACTTTTTGTTACCTGGGTCTGACAAGTTTTTCAGTTGAAAATTAACTTATTTTTTCCGCAGCATGATAATTCTTGATATTGCATAAGCAGTAGCGAGAAAGTAAAAATGAGTCAGAATGGAATGTTTAGCTCAGGGGGAGTTAAGAGAAACATACAGTACCTAGTTTTTTAGGCAGCTTTAATGAAGTAGGTTGTTCTATATACAAGTTCAATCCTCTTACAAATGTTTGAGCTGCAGAATGTGCTAACTTTTTCCAAACACAAAGAGTTGTGAACATCAATGATATTTTTTTTTATGTGGTTCAGTGAATAAGCATCTCTGAATTGGAAGGAAGTGCTATGAACATCAATTTACAAAAATAACAAATACAAATTAATTTAATAAAAACAAACTGTCTCAACATGATTAACATTTATTTTAATGCAAAAGATGATAACAATCATTTTCTTATGGCATGTTTTCATTGTATAAAAGTAGATGTAAATAAAAGTAAACTTCAACTTTTAAAAAATTCAAGATGGTCAGTTTTTGATAAACTTCCTAACTCATTCATTCATGATTAACACACTCACAAAGATCTGTACAATTGTATAAATATCACATTTAAATGGAAGAATGTAGGTTTATAATTCATTAGAAAATCTATTTAATCGAGCTTGAACACCCTGCAGTCTTTCTATCAATGGGCTTCCTGGTTTTGTGTATAACAAAGTGAGACATTTTGTCAACAAATCACCTGCTTTTGTAGCAATTAGGCGCCTGAAAAAAAAATTGAAATTTAGATCAAAAATATTGTAGTTGACGTATTTCATTTTGAATTCTAAAATACTTACTTTTCTGCAGATGGAACCAATCGTGGATTACTAATAAACTCATCAATCAAGTATGCAACCACTTCTATTACATAAAACTCTCCTCCATTTTTGAACCAACTGATGTCATTTTCTGATACAATGCTGGAAATTAAAAAACAAATTTATTTTTCAGAAAAAGTTAAGAAAATAAAACTTTCATGTTAAGGAACAAAGTTTCTACTGACGTATCGTATATTTGTATGAGTTTCGCCAGATGAACTCCCAAAGACAACATCAATTGGTAAACTTGTTTCTTTTCAGCACCAAGACGACAACACTGCAGTTCCAAATTTTGCACCAAAAAGGCTAGGGAAAAAAAAGAAAAGAAGAGAAATCTCAAAAGAATGAAATGTCGTGCATTATTCGTGTAAAATCCCATTCTTGTCTCAAAAATATGCTCACCAACTGGAAAACATCGTGGTGACAGTGAATATTCTTCACCCAGAGATTTCACTTTACTTAGAACCAAAGCCATTCTATCATCAGAATTTCTTAATTTCGAATTCTGAAGTTCACTATCAATAATATTTTGCCAAACATGCTCAATTAGACCTTGATCATGATGACCAGAACAGTGAATGATCGCAAGTTTACTTTCCCACAGTCCAAACGGTTCAGCAAAGTTTTCATACAACTGTAATTACAGAAAAATAATTACATTAGGATTAAGTAATACTGCATCAAGATGAAAAAAAGCCTTCAAAATTTTGAGGAGTACACCCCTTCATACCATTCAAAATTTAATAATATTAAGAGTGAAACAAGGAAAACTGCAATTCATAAATAGTACTAATATTTACCACAGAACATTTGAATGACTATGGAAAACAGAAAAAAATTCATTTGGAGTGAAAGGTATAGTTGGTGGTTCAGCCTGAAATGGCAAAGGACTATCTGTTCCCAAGCCCTTCATACTACATTTACACAAACAGAGTCATTTCAGATGAATGTGTAGAAGAAATTAAAAACAAACAACGTGGACACACACATACTTTACCAACTTCTCAATTAGGTGAACATATGTCTGATTTCTTTTTTGCTAAGAAACACTGTTACTCCTCAACAGCTTTTTGACTATTTTTCTTCCTCTAAGTGAGACAATGCACTGAGAATATTTCTAAGTATTACAGGAGAAAACATTCTACTTTATTTAAGATACAAACGATTAAAAACAAAACTTGTGAACGACTGGAACTGGAATTTCGCAACATTGCGTGCAACACTACAATCATGCCCAAGTTACGGCCAACTCTCCAACAGTGATTTAAGACTTAGAAATGAGCACAAAGGTGCAGTGACAAAGGTTTCAATAAAATTGAAAAATAAAAAACAACACTTCCTCCAGGAATCTATGCTTCTTAGATCAAAATGGTAAAGACATTTTTTATTGCTAATATGAGGAACACAACAGTGTTTATTTATTTTTTTTCTAAAATGACTCGCACTGTAATACATATTGATTTTATGAAAACCTATCATTTCACATCATTTACATATTGTATGTCAGTACTACCCGTATACTTACAGCTGTAATATCCAAAAGCCCAGAATTCAATTTTGTGATTGCTTCACCAGTGCGCGAACTTGCAGGTTTATTATTTATTGCATCTAGAATCTGCACATTAGATGAGGAAAAAAGAAAGAAAGAAAAGAATTAGAAAATATGTTGTAAGCCATATTGAAAAGCAAAGACAACAATAGAAATACCTGTTGTTGAAGACGAGCAACTTCTATCTTGTCCTCAAGCTCCCTCAAAAATACTCCAAGGTGAGGAGCACAACCTACTTTGTCACTTCGCATGCACATAACAGCACGAGCCAGGTAAGCAATGCGCTGGGTTAAAGCTACAGAGTCTCTGAAATATTGTATTTATAATTTTATTAAAATACTTTCACTAAGGTGAAAAAGAGATACTTTTTACCTCGCTGTCAATCATTTTGATGAAATAAGTTACATTTAGATATTACTTGGTGTCTCATTAATAATGCTTCTGGCCATGGGTAACCAAACACATTATCTTCCTATATTCTACATCATATACAGTAAAACTTCACTTATAAGTTTTGCAGGGGACTGAAGGGAAAAAATGTATAAGTGAGAAAAATGCATAACTGAAATTGAATGTAATGAGCAAAACAAAAACTCAACATTTTTATATTGACACACTCCACTCCTAGACCAACATTATTTTTGATTTATTTAGTCAAAGAAGAGTTTAAACTGTATGTGACATACGGGGGAGAAATACCATCAAACACATTTTCTTGAGCCTTGATTAATTCCTAACATTTTAACTACAAATAGTTGAATGATTAATAAAAGTTTTAAAAGAAACAAAGTTAGCTACCTTTGAAAACTTTTTGCTCCCAAGTTATGAAAACTTATTTGCCTCAGTAAACAAATTACAGATTTTATTTTATTTTTATACAACACAAAATAGTAACACCCCTGCTCCCAGCTCTACTACCATTACTAACAAAATGTGAAGCTACATGTAAGTTCAGAAGCAAAACAGTGATGCGTGTGAATGTGTCATATGACAGACGCCAAAGTGTCATTACAGGTCTATAATTCCCTCCAGTTTCAATATTTCCTTCAAAGATGTCAAATTTTTATTGTGCAATATTGGTGAACATTATGCAACACTACACTGGACAATACTAATGCACCTTTTCATTCTGTAGTTTTGTCCAAAATTCTAGAACGGACAGTTGAAACACCCTGCCTCATAACAAAATTAAACAACCAGCATATTAAATTTAACACAAAAATTCCATGAGTTACTCAACAATAACATAAATGTTCTCATTTATTAGTCACCTATGTAGTTTTGAATGTTGTTCATTATGAAAGTGTAAGTGTGAAAAACATATAAACATAACAGGCATATGATATAATTTAGCATGGGAAGTATGGGCATTTTTCTGGAACTTACAGGAAAAAAACTATAAGTGCGAAACGTATAAACGGAGTTTCACTGTAGTTCTATTAGATGGCTCAATTTACGGTTTGTCTCCGAGTGTAGAACCAATTGGCACATCACACTAGAGAAAGTCTTATATGTTACTCTTTAATATTTTCTTATTAGGTGACCAAAAAAAGGCATAATAAGAAGGCAAAGTAGATAAAGTGGGTATGAGAAGATAAATTAAGGCACCAAGGTCCCAAAGGGGATGAAGATAAAAATACTGTTTAAACTGCTGATGCTACAACTAAATCACAGCCAATATGATTTATAATAATAATAAATATGGTAGCAACCAGAGCAATTATTACAAAAGATGTACCAAGTTATAAAAATATACTTAATAATTTGCGCTATTAACCCTTGAGTGGTGGCTAGCTTCAAAAGAATTTTGGCAGCAGCTGCATGATTTTCGTTCTTTTCATAATATTTCCAGAGTAGGTCATTCATCTGAACACTGTCTTGACCCTGTTCACATCTGCGGTTCAGATACTTAGCATAACTAGGCTGTGTTGCGACAGCTAAATCGCCAAGCAAATTTTTATTCAACATCCAATCATAGATTGCAACATGCAACAATTCATCCTCTGTGGCTAAGGCTGCATGAACAAGTTTCAATAACTGTAAATGATGGAAAGGAAACATGTATATCAACGTTCTTGAATGTAGAAAGCAACAGTGTAACCACTAATCACAGTACCTGTGCACTGTCATTTTGAGTGTGCAAAAGATCTAGCACAGATGTGATTTCTTTGTAGCATTGAACTCTGCAAAAAAGAAAAATCAAATATAGAAAAATAAATTATTCTATTTCAATTTTTAGTTACAAAAAAAAAAAAAAAAAAAAAAAAAAAAAAAAAAAAAAAAAAAAAAAAAAATAATAATAATAATAATAATAATAATAACAACAATAATAATTACCGATCAACATAAGCACGGTAGCCTTCTTCATCTCCAGCTGGTTCATTATTATTATAATAATGAGAAGCCATATCTTTTGGATCGAGTTTAAGAGCACATGTCACACAGAGCTCTAATATGCCTTCATAATGCTGGCTTTGGAAGAACCACTGACATATATAGGGAAGGTTTATGTGAGGGGCAACTTCCTTGCAAAGCTGAAATAAAAATTCACATTAATAAAGAATAAATAATAATAATAATAATAATAATAATAATAATAGTAATAATAATAATAATAATAGTAGTAATAATAATAATAATAATAATAATAATAATAATAATAATAATAATAATAATAATAATAATAATAATAAGAAGAAGAAGAAGAAGAAGAATAGAAAAAAAACAACACCTTTTTGAAACTAAACAAGAGAAGCGTGTTTCACTTTTAGAATGGATTGAAATATATTTTAAGTGTAAGGGGTATGTACTATTTTCTGTCATATTTTAAGTTTAATAAGTAAGTTGTTGTGTATTAAGGAAGAAGAACGTGAATTGGGAGTCATGACCACACTATAACAATGTAGAGTGTCAAGGTCTGGTGACTGTTCAGTGATAAGTAAAGACTGGATTTTTGCCCACAAAAACTCTCCAAAATGTGCAGTAAAAACACAAAAAACATGCAACAAAAATATCAAAAGTTTGCAAAATAGTGTTATTTTCACTAAACACTCCAGTTAATCCAGTTATCAACTTATTTTACATTTTGGTTGCAAAATTTACAGTGAATGAAATATTATAATTAATTTTTTTATAATTATTAGTTCATATATATAATTTAAATAAACTGTATTTGTCATTTTAAATATTATTCACACAAAATTAAAACAAATAGAACAAATAGTAAATACAAAAATATCTACAGAAACCAAAAATAATGATGTTAGACAAGAAATGTTCTTAATTGTTTTCATAATAATTTACATTCATATACATTCCCAAATTATTTTCTTTGACATTACTGTATCTCCTATCATCTAATCTACATTTCAGAAAAAGATTAGTTCTATATTTACACATGTGTGTGTCAAGCCTTACTCTGTCATACATCTGTATATACTAAAAGCAGTCCAAATTTGTGTTCATTCTCTCTCGATTTCACGCCCTGACATATAGTCAAATGTGACTCCTGCGCGTAATCTCACGTTGGGAAGTTCAGCAAAAACTGACAAATTATACGAATATGATCCAATTAGGAAGATAGACCATATGGACCGAGTTCGTGGCAACTCCGTTCATCCCTATTCCTAACTGCAATCCCTCAGAAATTTTAATTAGTCAATAGGCATCATGAAAGAAATAGATGTTCATATCATTGGGCAACAAAACGCAGAATTGATACATATTAAACAAAGCTCGTTTTTCAGAGACCACCTGAATGGACTGCCGGGTTGTCATAAAAATGTTTTTCTTAAATGAAACCTTTAAAAAATGTAAATTAACACAAGTTGGTAATAGAAGAATTATATTTTACGCAATAAAATTATAAATCTTGCCAATTCGCCCCAATAAAATTAGTTTTTTAAAAAAAAGAGTACATTAATGTTTAAAAAATACTGGAACAAACTTTTTGGATACTTTTTTTTTACTTTTAACAGATTTGATCCTGCGAGATATGACTCATGGTTAACTCGTGTGTCCTGGGCATTATAGCTATAATCCAAACCTTGAAAGAATACTATCGTACACATCAGTTTGAAACTGATAAAATATTGTCTTTTCTCTTTACGTCTGCAGTATTTTATGATTAATTGATTACACGATAGTTGTGAGAATGAAATTCAAAGAAACACATGTTAATTTTATATTTTTGCGGAAAGTAAAAATGTTATGAAATTTGGGGGAAATGCAGTTAACTTTATATGACAACACTACTCGTGCACTATAATTATATTTTTAGTTCACTTTGTTTTCTCAAACTCTGGTAGTCAAATACACACCCACACACAGAGGGGGAGGGAGAGAGGGGGGAGAGGGAGGGGGGAGTAGGGATAGGTGGTGTGAAGAAGAGGAAGGTGACAGTGTGAATCGAGAGAGAGGCGAGGAGGTGGGAGATGAGGCGGGAGGAGAGAGAGAGGTAGGTGGAGAGAGAGAGAGGAGAGAGAGAGAGGGAGGGGAGAGAAGAGGGGAAGGGGAGAGGAGAGGGAGGGGAGAGAGAGGGAGGGGGAGAGAGAGGAGGGGAGAGAGAGAGGGAGGTGAGAGAGAGAGGGAAGGGGGAGAGAGAGAGAGGGAGAGGGAGAGAGAGGGAGGGGGGGAAGAGGGGAGAGGAGAGAGGGAGAGAGAGGGGAGGGGAGAGAGAAGAAGGGAGGGGGAAAGAGAGGGAGGAGAGGGAGGGGGGAGAGAGTGAGATGGGAGAGGGAGGGGGACTGAAGAGGTAGGGAGGAGAGGAGGAGGAGGAACGACGGGAGTGTAAGAAGGAGAGCGTATAGGAAGAAGAGGAGCGGGAAGAGAGGGAGGGGGAGAAGGAGGGAGAGAGGACGTTGAGGGGGAGAGAGGGAGGGGGGAGAGGAGGAGGAGGGAGGGGAGAGAGGAGGGAGGAGAGGAGGCGGGAGAGAGAGGAAGGGCTTAAGGGCGAGAATAATAAGAGCAAGGAGACAGATCATTAGTAGACTAGTAACTAATGAATTAGGCGTTTATCTTATTTCTCTTTTTCTTTTTCTTTGAGGAAGTTGTGTGGTTGGAAATTGTAAGTGAACACTGAACTGAGCAGATAAGCATTGGAGTCAGTGTCCCCCCCCCCAAAATGTATAATATAATTCATGTTTTTGATGTAAATAATTTGAAAGACTCAATCTGTATGTTTATGGGTGTGTATGTTTGAAATGCAAAAGAATAAAGTTCTTGGTTATTTATGGACTGACATGGACAATTTTTTGGTACAATCACACACACTCCACCTAAATGGGGTGCAATCATCATTAGTTCGATTTTGAATTGATATGTTGTAGTATTAGTTTGTTTATCTAGGAATTACTTCTTCTGGTAAATTGCAGATTCTTGATAAATGTATAATAGAAATAATTATGCTTTGTGGTGTAATAGCTCTTTTGATTCACATTAATATTAGAGTGTATATAGGGATGTTCCTCACAGTTTACCCATCATAAATAAATCTTCTCGTGTTCAATATTGTTGACGCGCGTGCTCTTTTGTGTGACAAAATACATATAAAGATAGATACCCTCAATACAAATATACAAGAATCAAAAATAACAATTTTCATTATTTACCTGAAGGGCGCAAGAAAGCTTTGCTAGTTTTTCTTCCTGATTTTGTGTGGCTTTTGCACTCTGGATCATACGATATGCCTGTAAAAATTATACAAAAGGAAGTAACAAACGTTTATCAGATCTAGGCAGTATTTTTAAATCAGGTGTTTAGTGTTTTATGTAATATTATCAGTTATGATGAAACAGAGTAAAGTAATCCTTGTTAAAAAGACATTCACTGAAACTTATTTTTCATTAATCATTTTATGAAACTGAGGAAGTAAATTGTAAGTTGGCGGTAGTTCTTCTATCAAGAACAGAAATTATTTTGACATTTTGCATGATCATTTCCAACTTTTCTGAAGAAGAAACATTTCAATCCAACTGCGTAGCTCAAGCAGTTCTTTTGAACAAAATTGTGATTTAATCGAAAAACAAGTATCGCACAGAAAAGGAACACAATTTCATTTTATTATAGCAGTGATACTGCATCATAATTCATTGTGTTTAGAAGCAATAACTTCCAATTTTCTTTGATGGATGTACTTCTTTAACCACTCATGTCCTATAATTTGCTTCTCAGGAAGGAAACAATCTTTTACAACATACTCTTGCCATAGTGAATTAGTGAAACTGTTTTGAAGAGGATGCAAGTTGGATTTATCATTATTCTGTACTCTGAAAGGAGATCAACCCCTTAACCACATCTAATAATAATTAAATTAAAAAAGTACTGATTAAAAAAGTATCAATTTTTAATTCTGAGTTAAATTAAATTAGTATTTCCACAAAAAAATCCAAAAATGCTTTCTGTAAAATGCAATTACATTGAAATTAAATGCATATCAAATAAGGGATTGGTTCACAATATTCTGCTACAAACCAAGGTCTTTCTTTTTTGAAATTAATTTTTTATGCATACAAGCAGCTGAGAGATTGCAGAAGTGCTGTAATAATATTGTTTCATCCCATAATTTTGCTGGCATCACCCCCCCCCCCTTTTTTTTTTACACAAAATATATTACTTGCACTTTCTTGGATTGGATATATAATGTATTATTACTTCGTATTAAAAATGGCATTCTACTAATTATTCAGTCCTCTTGTGAAACAATTGTGAAATAATCACTCAACTCCTACACTATTGGTAAGGAAGAGTAATTCTAACTGACTGGACTTTTGGGGATGTGCATGTTTGTATTTAGTAATATAAATGATTGTGGAACCAAAAGAATCCTCAGAAGTCAACTCAAAATTACTCCATAAATACTAATATTTTCAAAAAAGAAATGATTTGACGATTTTTTTTACAGAGGTGTAGGTTAAATTAAAATAAAATGAAATTAAAAGCAATGTTTATTAAGTATACTTTGCTCTTCTCCAGTAAAAAATTGAAAAAGCCATGTTTTATTTCTGAATTGAAATTGTTAATGATTTACGATATTGAAAAACTTGTTTAAGTTTCTGTTTATAATTGTAATAATTTCATACTAACTTAAAAACAGATGTTTTGAGAATAACACTTTTGATATCAAGGACTCAAAAACCACGGATTTTCACTAAACTACATATAGAGGAAAGTCATTTACTATGCCTAGAGCAAGAAACATCCACTTTTCCCTGCAGCATTACATAACTTTCCCTTACTATGTAGTAAATTTGAGAAAGTTATAATAATTGGTCCCATATACCAACTGCATTTTAAAACTGGTAAAAATGCCATAAGTAATAAACAAAAACATTTGTTTATTGTTTTTTTCTTCTTTTTAAGTACGTTTGATGGTCTAGTCTACACTTGCAAGTCAAGTTACCAGAGTTATTGAGTTTCAGCGAGATGAAATTCACTTGTACCTAAGAAGTGCTTTAGAAGTTTTCAATGATTCTTTTAAAAGCAAAAGCATGATTTTGATTGTCTGATGGTGCAGGGGTGCAAGGGGGATTTTTCAATCTTTACCTAAACTTTTAAAAAGAGGACCTTTCCATCTTCCTGGAAAAAAATTGCATTTATACAAGATGAAAATCAGGATTGTTTATATTTGGTAGAGATTTTAAAATGTTTAGCCTTTTTTTGGTATAAATTTTTATATTTATTTATTTTTTTAATAATAAATATGTTAGCTTGAGAAGAACTTACTTTTGAACAAGCTGCATCTTCTGTTCGATATAAATGTGGACACACTTCTCTAAGCTTAGCAATAATGGAATCTACAGAGGCATTATCATTCAGATAACTAGAACAAAAAAGAAAAGAAAACAAAAACATGTTGGAATAATAGTGTTTTGCAGAATAAAATAATAACAAACATATGAGTAAGAGAGAACTGGCACTGACAGGTATTGATAGCAGCTGTGAAGAGGATGTGGCAAAACCAAAAACTAGCCCAACTAGAGGTCAGGAAACCAGTATGAGAAAGTCTGACATTCTGTACCAGAACTAGTTTCATGTTTTAGTTGTTTTTTTAAAGACTCTTTGGCTGTTTATTATGTTTACTCATTAATTATTTTATATTGTAATAAGTACCTCTTCTGTCTTGTGCTTATTCTCTTTTTATTCTCTTATCTGTCCAGTTGTAATTTTATTGTTCTTCATGTATGAAGTTAAATTATATTTGTAAAAGTTTTATTATTCAGTTGTATTTTAAAATTGAGGGTAATTCATTGTTCTTGTTATTTTATTGTCTGCCTGAGATTGCAGGAATAAGGTATGTGAAATGATGCCAGACATTTTGTAATGACAATTGAATAAATAATATAGCAACCTCATTTTCATTGCTTTTAAACCTTTGTAGATACTACTAAAATTAAATTAATTCGTTTGAAATCTGCAGATCATTTCATTAAAATATAAGAAATTTATTATTAGAAGTTTCACCTTTATCTAAAGATCTGTACTACCAAACACACATTTTATTTAAACATACAGAAAACATTTCTCTCGTATTCGGAGTTTAATGATACATTTTAAATCAATTTCTTGTTCTTCAAATGTCCTTCATTTATTCCGGTCATCAATTCTAAGAATATTGGAGGCTTTGACAAATGAGTGTATGGCTTTGACCAACTAACTTATTATTAGAGACTCATGAGATATCTGTGCACTTTGACTTGTAGAGCACAAGCCAGACACATGAGAAGATAGACACCACACATGCACATCTACATGTACCATCGCTGTACAGGAAACATCGAGTAGCCCAATACAAGCTAGGGATTGTAATCGTTCATAAATTTGTTGTGCCTATGTTAGTAATTTAGTTCATTCGTTTTCTTGAGGGATTTCTTACACAAAATGAAGTGAAATAATTTTTTGGTGTGCTAAGGTTGTCTATCAAAAATCTACAAAGTCATATTCTTGGTATGGCATTCATTGCAGCTGAATCCTGTGATGTCAGCCAAGTGCACAGATTTCTTGCATAAAGTGTACATCATACAAACCTATTAATAAGAGCAGTCAGCAACACAGAACACAATTCATGTCCCACAAGTATCAAATTTCTGAATGATGCAGCCAGCAGCTGGTTTTGATGATCCTTGAACATAAACATCAAAAAATGATCCATGGTAAATGCTTTTGAAGAAAGGAAATAATACAGAACAAGGCTACTGGCAAGCAAATGACACTTTTAAGAAATCATTAATGTTGAGAATATTAATGAGATTAAAAAAAATGTATAGAATACACTGGCAGGCAAAATATATTTGGATCCATTAAGCATTCAATAAAAAAAAAAAGAATACAGAAGTGAAAGAAAGGAGAATAAAGACAGGGAATAGGAGGAAGGAAGGAGAGAATAAAGAAAGGGAAGAGGAGGAAGGGAAAGAGGAAGAAAGGAAAAAGAAGCAGCAGAGGAGGGGAAAGAAGTGAGGATGGAGGAAAAAGAGGGGTAAAAGGAGGATGAGGAGGACGACGAGGAGGACGACGAGGAGGACGAGGAGGAGGACGAGGAGGAGGACGAGGAGGAGGACGAGGAGGAGGACGAGGAGGAGGACGAGGACGAGCCCCTGTATCTTCATGTTCTCTTTCAAAGTAGATATTGTAAATACAATAGGCTTGTGATCATTCGAGTTCTGGTGAACTGTTACATTTATCAGTAAGAAATAAAAAGCAAAAACAAAATAATCCATTGAAAAACGGAATATGAAGTGTATAAATAAGTTGCTGCAGCAATAGCAAACCAGCCTGAGGGCAGGGAAATGCTGACACCAATTCAGAGAATATTGGTACTTCCTCGAAACCAATGTTGCAAGGGTTCATAAATTAAAATCAACGAAATATCAGTATTCAGTTTTCGAGTAAAACTCTTGAGGGTGCAGATGTGAGGGTGTGTGAGATTGTCACTGGCGGTTACACCACTTCCCATGCACCAATCAGGACGTATGAGGTGTCATTCAACGTGTCTCAGTTACCTGATGGAGAACTGATAATTTGTTTTAGGATCCAGCGAGAACATTCAAATAAATTTCCAAAAACCTGTTTTTTCATATTTCGGTGCTGCGATCCGAATGATAATGTTAGGAATTAAAACAACGCTTCCTACATTGATATATGAAGATGGCATTGATTAAACACTAGTACTCACACAAATTTTTAGCAAAATACACCATAATTTTCTTTCACGATATTGGCAACACTAATGTTGACATTTGTAAGTGAACAATAGAATTATCAAGTAAATCACGCTGCAGACTGCTTTGAATTTTGAATCAAATAATATTTTAAAAACTAAATTTGCAAAAATCTATGAACAGTATTGCTCTGGAACTTGTTAAACTTGGAAGAATTTCAAAAGAATACCGAAAAAACAAAACTGAGTAGTGCTAGGGAATGAATGAACATTATGTTTGACTTCTCACATTTATGTTCTTACATAAGTGTGCAATACCAGTTTTCAAGTGAATGTGACCCACAACTTTTGTTTATTAAAACTTAACTAATACCTTATTCACATAAACACATATCAGTTGCCTTTTATTGTTAGTTTTGCATGCAACGCTAGATTCACATACAAAACAATGAATAGAGCAATTGAAGTAGAAGTGAACACAAATAAGATGGTTTGTGAAGTTTCAATCTCTTCAAAAATTAGGGGAGAAATATATGGAAGTGTTAAGGAAATCTGGGGAAGAATTAAATGTAGTTGTTAAAGATGTTGCAACATAATTTTCAGAACTAACTGGGAATTACTATATTTTTGCATTTAGCATGTGTGCTAATGCAAATGTGCTATGTGCATTTTTGAGCATATTAGCAAAAAAGCTTGAAAATGTAGCTGTACTAAAATTCAACTACGAGCATCACAACCTGTAAGTATTTGTTACAGCGATTATAATTTTGAAATTGCAATATGACCAGTTCATATCCCATATGGAGGTAACGCACAATGCCATTGGGTGTTGGAAACTTTTGAACAGGAGTATAACATGACCAGCTACTATGATTCATTGGTAAGTCCAATACCTGATACTGAAAGAACATATTTGAACAAAGCTTGGCATGAAAGAAATTTTCAACACACGGAAATATTTTTAAAACTGTTCACAGCATTGGCAACACCGTATATGACTAATGACTAAATAATACTAAAACACTAAATATGACTCTTAGATGGCTTCAAAAAGTTATTGAAAATAGGATAATTTTATTACATATGTTAAGTTTTTGATACAATCCCCTCTGCTCTTTGAGCTTGTAGCTCAAAAATGTCTTGTACATACCCCAAAGTTTGTATTATTATTATTATAATAATAATTATAATAATAATAATAATAATAATGATAATAATAATGATAATAATTTTTTTTTAAATTAAAAAAAAGGGGGGGTGCGTATCAACAAATCAAATTTTACCGAAAGGAAGTCTAAACAAGCTAGGAAATTCACAATTAAAACTAAAAACATTTTTTTAGACGGAGTGGCAGGGGACAGCAGTGTGTGAAATAATTATTGACCTAAACCGTAGCAAAGATAACACTGGTGCATGGAAAAACATAAATCCCCTAGATAAAAACCCTAGATGTTTTGATTGTTTAAAAAAAATATTTTTTGGTGCCTCATTTTTTTTGGGTGGTAATATTTATTTACTTATTTACTTATTCACGCCAATCGGCTTTGTACATATAGGTAACAATTTATATACTAC